CGGGCTTAGGCACCCGGTAAGCTCCCTGGTCCCGGACTTTGCCTCGGGGTCGGACTGGCTTCCTAGAAGGTCTGGGCCAGCAGGCCTGGCCTCAGCTCCTGGCGGTCCCCAAGCCTGGGGAGCCCTCAGTCTGCTCCCTGACTCTGCATTGTCTCAGCTGAGCTTTCATCTCTCTCGTTAGTCACAGCCGGGCAGGTGGGAAAGGGGCCGAGAGTCCCCGTATGCAGGCTTTGGAGGGGCTCGCCGACCACCCAGTGCCCTGCACAGTGGGCAAGACAGGCTCTCCCAGCCCAGGGAAGGGGCCGCCCCTTCCTGACTCAGGTGGTGGGCTCCAGGCTGGCTCCTTTCTCTTCAAACTCCTCTTTGCCACTTGCTGGCCTGGGGTGGGGCAAGTTCAAGGAGGCGCTCACAGCAGAGTCTGGGGAGCAGAGGCCGCGAGGGACCAGGGTCCATCCTGTCTGCCAGGAATGGCTGGTAGAAGGCCACAGAAACAGCATACAGGTGTGCTGTGTGCCCTGGCCGTGGCTGTCTTCTCAGCTCCCTGGACGGTGGAGGCTGGGAGAGATCACGCCAATGCCATGTTGCCCAGAAAAGGATCACTTTCTTCCCATCCACCACCACCACGTCCTCTGGGGGCCTCTCACACCCACCAAACAATCAGCACCTGAACCCATGGAACTCCACAGGGAGCCCCGTGGGGCTCGTCATTAAATGTGCCCCACGAGTCTTTACTGAGCACATTCTGTGCGCCAGGCTGCCTGCCCGAGGGCAGTGTCCACTGCCTTTCACCAGGGAGGTGGCCCTGGTGTGTGGGAAGCGTGATGCAGCCAATACTGTGCTCATGGGCTCTGCAGTGGACGTTTCTCTCTGACCCCGACAGCTGGGAGGACTTGAAGGCTAGAGCGACTGGACAGCTGACAGCTGGCAGATGACGGGGGCTGTAGCTGGACTGGCGCCTCCACACGGCAGCTGGCTGGTTGGGCTTCCTCACAGCATGGTGGCTGGTTCCCAGCGGGAGTGTCCCAGAGCCTGGCGGACATGCCTGGCATTTTTGTGAGGTGCGGCAGTGCTCAGCCCACATCCCATGGGGGCCCAGACACAGTCTCCTACAGGTCACGTAGAGGAAAAACACTACACTGGTACAGCATCTCTGGCAAATACAGTCTACCAGCGTGGGGATGAGAGAGCAGGAAGTAAACCATAAAATAATAAGCAAATTATCTGTTTCCCACTGCTGTGCAGGAAATCACCACAAGTCCAGCATCAAACGGCATCTTTATTGTCTCAGCGCCGTTGTCAGGAGGCCCGCGGGCCAGGGTCTCAAGGTCGGGGGTGCGTGCGTGCGTGCGTGCGTGTGTGTCTCTCTCTCTGTCTAGTCTGGAGGTTCCTCTGGGGAAAGAGAGCCCCAAGTTCCCTCAGGTTGTCAGGACCATTTCTTGGAGTCTGAGGGACCAAGGCCCCGGGCTCAGGGGGCTGGAGGCCGCCCTGGCTCCCTGCACCCCATGACTGCCCCAAGGTGGCCAGGCCAGCGACAACAGCCTCTGGAGGAGCCCCGCCCACCCGATGCGGAGGGGCCACCACAGCAGGTGAGAAAGGGGAGGGTCCAGGGGGCTTGGCCGGATGTTGGGGGTGGTCAGGCGCCTGTGGTGCCACCTCTGGGGACCACAGGGCCGCCCATGGGCAGTGCTGAGTCAAAGTTCCAGCTCAGCGCCCTGGGCTCTGGGCAAGCCCTGTTGCAAGGGTTAAACGCTCCATCACAAAGTGCGGCGCTGCAGGGTCCGCAGAGCCCGCTACCGAGCTGCCTCACGGAATTCACAAGGTGAAGCCCCAAGACTCCTGTCCCGGAACAGCTGGCCCAGGCTCTCCAGGCTGGGGCCAGAGGTGCCGCTCGGCCTGGGGCAGGGCGCAGCTGAAGGCCTCTGCTCAGCCCCACTCCCTCCCTCCGGGGATTTCTTCCTGAGCTCAGAGCGCTGCGGGTGCTCTCCCCACCCAGGGCCTCATCAGTGCTCAGTGAGGAACAGGGTCGCATACTCTGCGGGGTGGGCGGTGCCTCCCTGGGGAAGGGCTCAGGCCGCTGGAGCGCCACACACGCCCCCTTCCAACTCCTCCCAGCCCCCAGGAGAGGCCGTGCCGTGCCCAGGCAGCACCTCCTCCGGACTCCACGTGGGAGCCACGTTCGCAGCCCCCAGGCCTCCCCAGTGCACCCCCCATCTCGGATGCCTCGCCTCCCCTGGGGCTAGGGGCCCAGGCCCATGCCACCTGCGGGTCACCTGACCTCAGGCCTCACCTAGAGGGCCTGCCCGCCACGGCTCCCTGTCCTTGGGGCCATCATCTGAGAGGCTGCACGACCTGCCTCACTAGAGCAAAGGGCAGTTCACAGGGTAGCGGGAGGGGGGGTGGACAGGCCTGAAGAGGGCAGTGGGCTCCTGACAAGGCAAGAAAGGCTCCAGGAGGCCCTGCCTGGGCTCCACAGCCCTCACGCAGTCGGGGCTGCTGCAGGGCAGTGGGGCGGCAACCCACGCCTTCAACCTCGGGGCGCCCAGCTGGCCTGCCCCTTAGCACGAGGAGTCCAGAGTGACACTGCCCCCTCCTCCTGCCTGGGAACAGAGACTCTGACCAGGCGGAGCCTGAGGCTGACAAGGTCCTCAGGGGGTCACAGGGGCTGGAGGGTCCCCAGGACACGGGCCCAGAGCAGCCGCTGGTGGGGCAACTCCTCTTCCCGGGGTGCCCAGCCCTTCCTGAGCCTTCCACGGTGGCCTGCAGCTGTCAGAGCGGCTGCTTCCGGGCGGTGGGCTGTACCGTGGGCAGTGGGGCCGGGGTGCAGGTATGCACATGGAGGAGAGAGAGCGGCTGGGGAGAGTAGCCTCCGGAGAGCAGTGGCAGTCCCAGGCAGGCGGTGGGCATCCAGCTGCCCACTGGTCTGTCGGGAGCCCCCGCCATGGACACACCTGCTCACCTCCTGTCCAGCTGGTGCCCACCTTGCAGTCTCAGGTGCGTGTACCCTCTTTTACCATGGAGGGAAGTACAGGGAGGTAGTGAGCAGGTGAGGGTCTGAGCCGGCCTCTCAGATCAGGAGGGACCAACAGCTGTGTCCCCAGTGGTCTCCTATCTGCCCAGGCAGAGGAGGGAGGATTTATCCCCCGCCCTCCCATCATCGAAAGTTTGCCCGCTGTGGTGGCGCTGACTGTGGGCTTCAAGAGGGAGCCTGGGGAGGATCGCCCGTCCTAGCCGGGAGGAGGAGCCGGGCAGCGGGGCAGGTTGCATCCCCGGCTCTTGCAGTCTCCCCTTTGTCATCACTTAGCCCAGGATCCTTGGCCCCCGCCGCACCAATCCACGTCTCCTCCAAGGCCCTGGGCCGAGGCCACCACCGAGAGACCCGAGGGGTGGCTGGATGAGGATACGGGCTCTGCCAATATCTGCCCGCAGGGCCAGGCTGGGGAAGCTAGCTGGCCCACAGCTGGTCCACTCAGTTCCCTGACGGGCTGGGGGCCCTTTTGTATAATTAATTAATTAATTAGTTAGTTAATTATTTTTCTTAGCCGCGTTGGGTCTTCGTTGCTGTGCGCGGGCTTTCTCTAGTTGCGGCAAGCAGGGGCTACTCTTCATTGCGGTTTGCAGGCTTCTCATCGCGGTGGCTTCTCTCGTTGCGGAGCACAGGCTCTAGGCGTGCAGGCTTCAGGAGTTGTGGCACTCGGGCTTCAGTAGTTGTGGCACACAGGCTTAGTTGCTCCGCGGCATGTGGGATCTTCCTGGACCAGGGCTCGAACCCGTGTGCCCTGCACGGGCAGGCGGATTCTCAACCGCTGCGCCACCACGGAAACCCCTGGGGGCCCTTTCTTCACAGCTGGGTCTGACTCCAGAATCCACCATCCTGCCGAACTGGCAAACGTCAGGCCCCAGCGATCAGCACGAGACGACAGGACCCCTGCTCTGCTAGACTGAACAGCGCCACCGCACGCTGACGCTGGGCAGGACCCTTGCCACGAACTGGCCTTGGTTCTTGTCACCTCTGAGCTGCTGCAGGGGCGCGCCATCACACAGACGAGGGCTGGTGGAGAGCAGGACCCCCGGGTGCTCACCCTGGCCTCCCGGGGCGGAGTGTCCGTCCCTCCCGTGCTGGGGCTGGGCCGAGGGGCCTTCGTTGGCCAATGCGAGGCACTGGCCATCGAGGATGGAGTGTGGGCGGAGGCCCGAGCTGCACCCACACGGGTGGCCCTCTCACCCTTCAGCCAGCGCGGCCCTTTCAACCTGGGCCCAGAAGGAGCAGGTGGAGGACAAGTGGCCGTGCAGCTGACCCGACTCCTGGCAGAAGCGTGAGGCTGCAGGCTGGGGAGCAAGGGGCCCCCAGCACACGGGGTGGTTTGTGATGTGGATCCCGGGGCGGCCGCCCCAGAAGGGGGCTGCTGGCACAGGCTCGCCAGCGGGAGCACAGCTCACTTCCCTGGGGGTGAGGGGTGAATACCCTGAGTGGCCATGCACCCCTCCAAGCCTGGGCAGCGGCATCCAGCAGGGGGCCAGGCCCTGTCCGAGGCCCCCGTGCTCTCCGCCAGGGCTCCCCAAGCCCAGGGGCCAGAGACGCTGCCTCCTCCCTCGGGCCGCCCTGTCCCAGACCAGGTGCCAGCTTGGGGCAGGTCCTCTGGCCCCAGGCTGTGGCATCCAACATGCAGGCAGGCCCCTCCTGGGTCTCTCCCAGCCACAAATCAAACTGGCCTAGCCGTGGGGGACAGGCTGCCCCAACCCTCTGAGCCATCTAGGGGCGGCAGGGAAGTGGCCCATGTTCCTGCCCGAAGGCACGGAGGGGCTGTGCCTCCGTCTCACCAGGGCCAGGCGGGCAGGTGGAGAATGAGTGGGGGGCCACTGGAGGGGGGTCTGTGGCCTGCCCCTCACCTTCCCCTCAATCTCAGGCCTCCAGGCCACCCTGGGGTGGCACCCCTGGAGACACTCTGGGGCCTCTGGGCAGGCCGGGCAGCGGTGGGGTGGCAGTCAGGACAGCCACGAGGACACAGGACAGAACCTTTATTGCTGAACACAAAACACCCGCCAGGGAGGCCTGCCCGGCAGTCCCTCCCTGGGCAGGAGGTCTGCGGGAGGACCGGCGTGGGGGTGGGGGGACGCGCATTGCATGGCCGCTGCCGCACCCACAGTGGGGACGGGCCTGGGGGTTAGCCCTGCCGGGCACCCCTCGGGGCAAGGCTGAAGAACCCGGGGTGGGTGGGTGGGTGGAGCCCAGCCCGAGGGAGGTGAGGCCTGGGCACTGATCACGCAGGGCTGAGAGCCAGGCGAGCAGAGCGACGGCCCTGCAGCCCCTGGGGGGGCGCTCTGTGGCAAGCGGTCCCTCCTCTGGGGCGGTGGCGGGCAGTCTCCTTCCTCTCCAGGGATGAAGGGCTGAGGTAGGCGTGGGCCGGCTCCCTGGGCCTCACAGACGGGGTTTGATGTGCAGCGATTTCCCTGTTCCGAGAGGGGCAAAGGTCAGGCACCAGGAGTCCCCCAGCCAGGAGGAATGCCCCCCCCTCCCAAAGCTTCTGGGTCAGGGACCGCTAGCAATGGGGAGAGGGGCTTTGACACCATCGTCCTCTCGTCCAACACCCACTGCCCTCCCTGGGGTCCGGCGTCTAGCAGGGTGCAGGCCTGGCCTGTGGGGCTGAGAGCTCCCCTGGGTGGGGGAGCAGAGGCCTGCCAGGTGGGATAGCCCCTGGGGAGTGGGTGGGTCACGGCGGGAGCCACAGCAGTGTCCAGGCTGAGCTATAAACACCAGGTGCAGGCCGCCTGCACGCACACACAGCACAGGCTCGCACCTGGACAAGTCTGAGGCTAACAGACGGAGCCCCTGGCGTGAAAAGCCAGGGTGGGTGTGAGCAGTTGCTGGGTGAGGGGCGGGGCTGAGGCCCCTGTGCAGGGTGACATGCCGGGGCGGGAGGGGCGCGGTGGTAGAGGCTTCCCACAGCAGAGCAGGCTCCTGCCCTGTGTGGCCCACGCTCACTGGGTGCCAATGCCCCTCCCCTCCTGTGAACACTCCAGGCCAGCAGCCCCGCTGACCACAGATGCCTCCGTGTGGCTGCCCATCGGCACGGCACTGTCCACGTGCCCCCTGCCAGCCCGCCTCTCCTCCTGGGACCCCACTTCAGGGCCGAGGACCCCAGTCACCGGCTCAGCTAAGCCAGTGCCTAGAGGTCAGCCCAGCCAGCCAGGGCCCCCGGCCTGCAGACTCCACCGGCCTCTGCTCGAGGGCCTCGGCCCCCCTCTGCCTGTCCTTCCAGCTCCCGGGAGGTCAGCAAGGCCTGAGCAGGGAAGGAGGCTGATGGGGGCCCCCAGGACAGTGGGGGTCTGCAGCCTCTCACCCACCCTGCCTGCTTCCTCTGATTCTGGGGCTGGTTGCAGGGCTCCTTATCTTACTTTAAAAAAAAAAAAAGAGTTTTCAAAGGTGGCTGCCTCGGGCTGTCTGCTCCCTCCCCCCCGTGCCCCAGTGTGTCCTCCCAATGGAAGGAGCTGGTGACCAGCCAGGCAGGGTGGGCGGGTGGGGCGCCCGGCCGCAGCCTGGCGTCTGGGACGCGGTGGCTTGAGCAGGCGTGAGCGAGCTCAGCAGAGCTGTTAGCAAAGGCTGCAGCAAGCGTCTTCCATTAACGCTACGACCGTGAAATATGACAATAAAATGACGGCCGTATGGTCGCAAATTTGCAGCCCGCCGAGCTGCGTGGGGTTTATCGTCACTCAAACGCGCAGAGAGCTGTAAAATGTTTACAGAAAGGGTCGTTTGCAGCCATAAAATCCTCTTTTCTCTCCTAAACAAGGCTGAGTGGAGCCATTTACCAAGCCCCAAATGTTCATCGGGGGAGAGGGAACATCTGTTCTCTCCAGGAGCCTGCAGTGATCTTCCAGAACAAATGAACAGAAATGGGTGCTTCCTAATTAAATCAGCCCTCGGCTGGGGCGGTCTGTGCAGGCGGCGCTGCTGTGCTCGCACCTCGCCGGCCCTGCCCCTGTGGGCCCCCGCAGGTGCACACCTGCCAAGCCAGGGACAGGGCACAGCAGCGCCCAGCCCATGCCAGCTCTCCGGAACCATCCAGGCCCCGCCTAGAGATTCTGACCCAGTGGGTCTGAGGCGGGCACTGCAAGAGTGCAGCTGCGCTCCGGCGGGTGGGTTGCCTACCTGAGTCCTTGGTGGGGCTGCTCCTGGGGGTCGGGGTCCTGGGCTGGCCTCCTGGGCTTGGCGAGGACTGCAGGGAGATGAAGGAGGGCAGCCTGCAGAGGCTGCCGGAGCCCGTCCCCGCCGAGGCAGCCTCCTCCGGCACAGACAGCTCCTCCAGGTCCAGGGGCAGGGAGGCGGAGGGGGAGGAGGGGGAGAGGCGGGAGGGGGAGGACGGGGGGGAGGAGGGGGAGGGGGGCGAGGAGGAGGAGTGGGGGGAGGAGACGGAGGAGGAGGAGGCTGAGGCTGCAGCTAAGAGCCGTGGGGAAGGCGGGGTGGAGGCCGAGCCGGCTGCCGCGGAGGTGGAGCAGCTGGACATCTGCCTGGTGGGGCGATGGGCGGCCAAGGACTTCCTGTGGGAAATGAAGGGGAGCAGAGGCGTGAGGGTGGGCGGCCAGCCGGCCACCTGTATACTGCCTGTCCCGGCGGCAAGGCTCCCGGCGCCGCCCCGCCCCGGCAGCCATCAGGCATCACCGTGCGGGTTCAAGGCTGGCCCTCAGCCCAAGGACAGGCTGGCGGCGCTACAGGACCTGCAGCAACGCCACGCTGACCCTGTCCTCACCTTCTGCAGCCTTCCTCATGCACACGGGCTCCCACATTCACAGGGGGGTGAGCACAACAGGGGTCCCAGCCGTGAGCATCACCTGGGACCCTCCCCTCTCCTGGGGACTTGGAGGGGGCAGCTGAGAAGCCCCCACCTTCCTCCCCAGGGCGGGGGCTGGGCAGCCCTGCATGGCTTGGTCTGGGCCAGGGATGCCCTTGGCTCCGCCCAGCCTGGGGACCAGTGGGTGGGACACCTCGAGGTCACTTGATCGACTCTGGACTGAGGTTTCTTTTAGGGTCTGAAGCCCACAGAGCTGGGTGGCGGCGGGGTGGGGGGCTCCTTCCTGACCACCCCCCACCCTGCGCTTACACATGCAGCGCCCACTGTCCCCGTCACCTGGGCCCGTGGCTGGTGGAAGCCCTGCTCCTGGGGGGCGTGATGTTGGGCTCCGGGGCCAGGGCTGTGGCTGCCCGCCGGCCGAGGTGCCTCTGGTTGCGGTGGAGCAGCTGGCACTGGGCGCCCCGGGGGCAGACGCCCCTGCGGGAGAAGTCGGGACACAGCAGCGTGTGCTTCTTCTTGCACTGCGGGGAGAAGGGGCGTGGCTGGGCAAGCCAGTGGAGGCCTCTGCGCCACTGGGGTGGCCCTGCCTGCTCCGCCCGCTGAGGCCTGGGCCAAAGGCTTCCTGTTGGGGGACTGAGGCCCGAGGGCCAGAGTGGCCCCGCAGCCCACGCCCCACCCATCAAGAAGATGCCCCTGAGCAGCCCAAGGGTCGAGGGCGCCGCCCAGTCCAGCCCTGCGCCTGGGCTGAGGGTCCTGTCAGGCTGAGGTGGCGATTCCCAGGGCGCTAACTCCTCCTCCTGACCACAGCCCACCCATCCTGGCAGAGGACCAGGGTGGGGGCGCTAGGCCTGGGGGCCCAGGGTGGAGGCCGGCTGCACACCTGATCCACCACACCTGTCACGGTGCTAATTACACCCCGTGGGGGCGGCCTACAAGCAGCTCGGGCAACAGGCAGCCTCAGCTCTGCCCGCCAAGCCCAAGGCCTGCCTTTCCTCAGCCCTCCTGCCCCCAGGACTGGGGCTGCAGGGCCCAACTCCGCAGCCGGGCTGTGTCCCACTTCTTGCCTGGCTCTTCTAGGGGAGGGGGTCCTGTTCTTCCCCACACCCAACAGCTGGCTTAGGGGGCCCGACCCAGCAGGAGAGAGCCAGGTACAGCAAGCCTCATGGGCCAGGTGACAGGCGATATGCTGGAGACAGGCCCGGATGGGAACCACTGCAAGCAGAGTTCCTGTGAAACCCACCCAGGGGGGAGTTTAAAACCAGCCCCGGTGCCTGAGCAGCTCGAGGGTGCCCACCGGCACAGCCACTGGAAATACACGGCAACAGCCTCGAAAGCATCTTCCTCCCGGGCCCCATCACCTCTCCCCGGACACGTGCCCCGAGAGTCCCTGATCTTAGCTCTGCTCCCAGCACCCAGGACAGAGCCGGCCGAGGACCCCACGGGGCGTGTACCCATTCTGTGAGCAGGATCTGGGCATTGACCCCATTCTTGTCCCCACACCTGGCTCCCCGCTGCCCCCAAGGGACCAGAAGCCCCTCACACTGGAGCCTGGGGGCTGGCATGAAGACAGGCAGGCAACAGCCCGAGCACCCCTGCACCACATCCCCGTGCTGGGCAGACTCAGCCCTGCCCCCGAGCAGAAGGCAGGCTCAGGCCAATGCCTGCTCTCCCTCCCTCCCTCCCTCCCTCCCTCCCCTCTGCCCTGGGCCTGGCCAGTGACACGATCCTGAACCCAGGGGCCCCGCCCTCGCTGTTGCACACATAAAAGAGACACATGGAGACGCTGGGGCCATGCAGGGCTGCCCCTCGGGGTCTCCTGGGGAATAGGGGGGTCGGGGCAGGTAGAGGGGACAGGAAGGACCTTTGGGTGGAGAGGGCCCAGCACCGGGCTGCACACAGAGAGATGGCTAGAGGGCGCTGGACCTGCACTGTCCCGCGGTGACCACGAGCCCCGCGGCTGCTCTGAGCCTGGACGGTGTGACAGGTGCAACGCACAGGGGGCCCCAGGTAAAAGGCGGCACAGAGCTTTCCTCCCTGGTCGCACGCTGACATTTGTGATCTGCTGGGTCAAATAAACTCATCTCACCTGTTTCTGTTTCACTTTCTTAAGGTGCTACTAGGAAATGTGAAATCCTGCGTGGGGTTCACATCTGGCTGACCTTCCTACTAGAGATGGCTGGTCTGAACTAGTCTGAACTAGCTCCCAAGAACAACCTTATCCTAGGCTAGAGTGTAAAGAACTTTCTCAAATCGTCCGAGAGCTATCGAGAAAGTGAAATGATGGAGGAAAATCTATGCAGAGATGTGGTGGACACAGGGCTGGTCTCAGGTCTCAAAGGCCCGACGTGCCCCTTAGACCAAGGTCACTGAGGAAGGGGCAAAACCAACCAACCACACAAAACTCCCTGCAGAGCTGGAAATTAAGAAAGTCACCGCTAAATAATTCATTGGTCAAACAAGAAACAATGGAAATCAGGGAATGTTTAGAACCAAATGATAACACCAAAACAACCCATCAAAATTCGTGAAATGCAGCTGAAGCAGCACTTGGAGAGAAGTCCTCAGCCTTACAGGCTCATGTTATTAGTAAAGAGGATATACCTCAAAAGTTAGAAGGAAAACACCAAAATGGCCCAAAGAAAGCAGAGGGAAGGAAATAAAGAGAAAAGGAACATATGAACAGTATTAGGAATGACACAAGTGCTGCTAAACTGCTGACACTGTAGAAAGCAAAAAGATATCAAGATGATACAATGAACAAACTTTATGCCAATGAATCTGAAAGCAGACGAAATCTACAAATTCTAGAAAAATTGACAAGAACTGATATAAAACCTGAATGAACATTCCTATGACCGTAAAGGAATCTGAATCAGTAGTTAAAAAATAAGGAAAGCCCCAGCCCAGGGTTTCAGTGGTAGGTCAACCATGTATTCAAGAGTTGCGTCATTCCAGCCTTACATGAACTGGTCCACAGAAAAGGAAAGCAGAGGATACTTCTCAACGTAGTTTATTGGGCCAGAATAATCTTAGAACCAAACCCTGACCAGAACTAGATGATAAGAGAACATTTAGGGACTTCCCTGTTGGTGCAGTGGTTAGGAATCTGCCTGCCAATGCAGAGGACATGGGTTCGAGCCCTGGTCCTGGAAGATCCCACATGCCGCGGAGCAACTAAGCCCGAGCACCACAACTACTGAGCCTGCGCCCTAGAGCCCGTGAGCCACAACTACTGAGCCCACGTGCCACAACTACTGAAGCCCGTGTGCTTTGAGCCCGTGCTCCGCAACAAGAGAAGCCACCGCAATGAGAAGCCCATGCACCACAACAAAGAGTAGCCCCCACTTGCCGCCAACTAGAGAAAGCCCGCGTGCAGCAATGAAGACTCAACGCAGCCAAAAATAAATTTTAAAAAAATGAAATTCAGCATCAATTCAAAGTTTAGCAAATTCGTGATAGAAGGGAACTTCCTTAGCTTAATATAGAACCTTTCAGAAAGCCTCACTTGCCAAGGGGCATGGCTGGAAGCCCACGGCCATGACGAGTCAATATCACACTGGGCTTACAGGCAGGGCAGAAAAAGAAAGAAAAGGCGTTTAAACTCAAAGGAAGAAAATATGGTCGTTACTTCAAAAGATACGACTGTTAATGTAGAGAAACCCAAGAGAATCCACCCTATGGGTGATTTACGACAATTACTAATAGAGTTTAGCAAGGTTGCTGGAAACAAAATCAATATTAAAAGTTGTATGTCCAGGGCTTCCCTGGTGGCACAGTGGTTGAGAGTCCGCCTGCCGATGCAGGGGACACGGGTTCGTGCCCCGGTCCGGGAAGATCCCACATGCCGCGGAGCGGCTGGGCCCGTGAGCCATGGCCAATGAGCCTGCGCGTCCGGAGCCTGTGCTCCGCAGTGGGAGAGGCCGCAACAGTGAGAGGCCCGCGTACCGCAAAAAAAAAAAAATTGTATGTCCATACACCAATGAGCAGTGAGAAGATAACATTTAAAAACGTGTTCTTGATAAAAATAATGAATGTGACAGGAACAAATCTAACGAAGATAAGCAAGAATTTTATTAAATGAAAAGCTTTTGACAAAATTCAACACCCATTTATGATAAAAACTCTCCAGAAATTGGGCATAAAGGGAACCTACCTCAACATAATAAAGGCCATATATGACAAACCCAGAGCAAACATTCTCAATGGTGAAAAAGTGAAAGCATTTCCTCTAAGATCAGGAACAAAACAAGGATGTCCACTCTTGCCACTATTATTCAACATAGTTTTGGAAGTCCTAGCCATGGCAATCAGAGAAGAAAAATAAATAAAAGGAATACGAATTGGAAAAGAGGAAGTAAAACTGTCACTGTTTGCAGATGACATGATACTATACATAGAGAACCCTAAAGATGCCACCAGAAAACTACTAGAGCTAATCAATGAATTTGGTAAAGATGCAGGATACAAAATTAACGCACAGAAATCTCTTGCATTTCTATACACTAACAATGAAAGATCAGAAAGAGAAATTAAGGAAATAATCCCATTTGCCTACATATCAAAAAGAATAAAACACCTAGGAATAAACCTACCTAAGGAGGTAAAAGACCTGTACTCAGAAAACTCTTAAGACACTGATGAAAGAAATCAAAGATGACACAAACAGATGGAGAGGTATACCATGTCCTTGGATTGGAAGAATCAATACTGTGAAAATGACTATACTATCTAAAGCAATCTACAAATTCA